CGGACCTCTTCCTGCTGTGATTCAGGACGAGCCATGGACAGTTAGTTTGGAGCCTCCGTCGGAGGCCGAGGTCCGAAACGCGATCACAGGCGTAAATCGTTTTCGTGCCGCTAGACCGGACTCCCATCCACCTGCACTATTTAATGATGGAGGTGGGGTCCTCTGCAAAGTACTGACCTCCCGATTCAAAAGTAGCTGGGAGGAAGAAAATGTCCCGGATAACTGGAGTGAATCGATTATAGTGGCAATATACAAGAAGGGCAGTCGCACAGACTGTTGTAACAACAGGAGTATTAGCCTAACGCCAGTTGTGACAAAATTACGGGCGACGGGTCGTTCGTCGCCTCACTGCGGAACAGGAATCTCGTATTAAGGAAGAGCAGGTAGATTTCCACCCAGGAGGTGGCTGTATAGACCATATATTCACTGCGGCAGGTGATACAGCAGCGCCACGCATACCGCAGACCGTCGATTTCAAAAGTGCGTCCGATTCCGCCGATCAATCCATTCTGTTCGAAATACTTGCGGGGAAAGGTATTCCCACGAAATATGTGAACATCCTACGTGCTCTACACTCGAACACTACAGGCTGGGTCAGAGTCGACGGTGGCCTATCGGATAGCTTTCAGACCACAAGTGGCGTTCGTCAGGATTGTCCGATTTCCCCATTTTTGTTCAATTTCGTTATGGACTCTAGCATGGAGTGTTCCCTTGCGATGTAGGTGTTGAGGTCCCGCCTGGTGAAAGGTTACTTGATCCTGATTATGCGACTGATATCGTCTTGCTTTTCAACGATGTTGGGACGGCACAATAAACCCTGAATAGCCAGTGCGGAGTGGTATGCGCTTTGCACCTTCAAAGTGCAAAGTGTTGCTGCAGAAACACCAGCCATTTTATGACCCATTGACCCTTGCTAACGAGGAACTCGGAGTGGTTGATCAAATCACTTACCTTGGCATCTACATCAGCAACGATGGGCGCATAGAAACTGAAGTCATTTCACGCAATGCAAAGGCCAGAGCTACCTTCTTGAACCTGTGGCACCCTTGGCGATAGAAGGGTGTTTCCCTCCGTCTGAAATGCCGTTTACTAAGCCATAGTGAGGGCCGTCCTGCTCTATGGGAGTGAGACTTGGCCTCTTTGGTCTGATGATCAGAGACGCGTTCAAGTCTTCGATCATCATTGTCTGCGAAGCACTGCTGGTGTCGGATTACACCAGCGTGTCCCCAACAATGATGTGCGTAGGCGAGTACTAGGTAGTGATAATCATGCTGTCTCTCTAGAACAACAGATAGCACTAAATAAGTTGCGTTGGCCGGGGCATGTGCCAGGTATGCCTGGACACCGCTTACCTAGATGGGCCTTGTTTTCATCTGCCGGATATAGGGTGGCGCAAGGCTTGATATGGAAAAAAAGTTGACTTGGCAGGGTGAGATGAAATCACTGACGACCAAACTGGGTGCTGCCGGTCCCTCTCGCAATCCAGGCTGGAGTCCACGTGACTCGCCTTGTGCTTGGTCCGAGACTTTACAAGACATGGCTCGCAGTCGACACTAGTGACGCGTCTGCCGCCGTCTCCTAGTCAGACTGCCTGTTTAGTGTGTTTGGCGCCGAGTTACGTGTGGGGTAATGGCTGAGTACAAAGCGGGGCATTGAAAGCCGCAAGGAAGATGCCTCGCTAATGCTGTCTTATCTTTGCATGATAATCATCTGTTTGTGACGGTATGTTGTCAACAAAAGGCGTAGGCGCCTTGAGCTTGAATGTTTGCTTAGGGCATTAAGATTTTCAGGTAGGTCCCCCTTCTCTCCCCCTTATTATTCTTTATTTCATAGGTCATCATGGTTGTATGGCAGCGAAGCATCAGTTCAAATGGCTGATGTACTGCTGCTGTTGATAACGATGATGTTTACGCGCCAAACGATTGTAGCTCTGAACTGAACAAGCACATCTTTTACTGTCAGCTTCATCATTACGCAAAGCCACCAAGTCGGACGTCATTGTCCTCGCTGGAGACTTCAATGCACGTGTCGGTCGGCTAGTACCAGGTGAATATCACTTGTAATGAACGAGAAACGGAACCAGGCTATACAATTGTGCGAAGACAACAGCTTGTTTCTCGCAAGCACTCGAGGGGACGCTCTGTCACTTGACGTCCTTCTTCACCGTCGTAGGCCTAGGCCCAAATAGATCACATTGTAATCAGTTTCAGGTGGCGTGGCAGCATACAAGACTGTAGGTCATTATGGCCTACCTACATGGATTCAGATCACGCGCTGGTCTGTGCAAGCGTTTGTATGCGATTCGGGAAAAATCAGAAATAGAGACTGTAAGCTTGATACGAGCAGAATAGCTTGTTAGTGGGCTCAGGTAGATGATCAACTGTCACTGGCAAGCACACTACCCTACATCCCGCCCACTGAGATTGAACACCACTGGAAGTTCTTGCAGCAAGCAATGCTAACTTCAGGCCAATCAGTTTGTGGGTTATCTTATCACCCGTTAAAGGGTTGAATTTCGGCGCGCTCCCTGATACTGTTCGACCGCCGCCGAATTCTTTCAGTAAACCCAGACCAGAATGCAGTTCGCCGCATTATCAGCAGATAACTCAAACGAAGCATTCGCAGCGATCGGGGTTTGGTGGTCCCAATACGCCCTGGAAATAGAGGCCGTCGTCCTCAATGAAAACAACTGCAAGCTATTTCAGCTCATAAGGACCACTGGACACACGAACCCTGGTATCAGCGAGGTCATCTGTGAGGCGGACGGGTCACAAATCACTAGTTTGCAGAAACGCATAGACAGATGGGCTGAGTACTTCTAATCTCTGTTCAGTTGTTCCACTCAATCCATCTTTACACTCAGTATTCCTACTCGCATGCCATGGTTAGCGCCACTCTAACCACCAAACAAAGCGGAGGTTTGTCTTGAGATTCGTCACTTGAAGTGCTTCAAGGCGCCTGGCTCAGATGAGCTATCTCAGAGTTGCTCAGATACAGCGGTACAGCAGTCATCAAGCAGCTAACGTCCCTGGTTCTGAAGATCTGGCAGAAAAAAGGATCCCTTCTTTCTGGGAAGAGTCAATCATTGTTCCAATCAAGGAATGCCCTCAAACTTTGCACGGCAATTACAGGGGCATCAATCAAATATCAGTTGCCTACAAGCTATTAGCATCCACCATACTACACAGGCTACCCCATTCGTGAGTCACACTACCGGAGGGAACAGGCTGGTTTTTGCTCCCGGTCGAGGATGTATAGATCAAATTTTCATTCTTCGTCAACTGCTGGAGCATCGTCACCTCTACAGCAGAACCAACATCGTCAGTTTCCTGGATATTCCGGTTGTGTTCTACTCGGTAGATCGACCTGCTTTTTGGAACTGTCTGCTGAAGAATGGAGTTCGGGTAAAGTACGTCGCCGTACTTCGCGCGCTATACCTCCATAGTTCAGGCCGAATGAGAGCCTTTGGCACGATTTCCCCACTCTTTCGTGCCACCCGGACGTGCGACAAGGATACACAATGTCACAGTTTCTCTTCAAGTTTGCAATCAAAACTGTCCTTTTGTGAGCTTTAGAGGGCCTGAAGAATTTCGGCACCGAGCTTCCTCCAGATAATCGCGCGACCGACTTAGACTAAGCTGATGGTATCGCTTTGCTTGGTGACGACCCTCATTGGATGTAATCGAACATTTACCGATGGGTGGTATGCGCTCTGCCCCCTCCAAGTGCAAAGTACTTTTACAGGACTGGCAACTTCCACTTCCCCAATTCACCATCGAACGCACACAGCTCGAACAGTTTGATAGTTTTGTTTACCTAGGGACCTGCGTTTCTGCCGACGGCACCGTCAGAGCAGTGGCATCTCTTCGCATCACTAAAGCCGGGTTGGTGTTTACCATCTTAAGACATTTGTGGCTCCGTCGCAACACTTCACTCTCGCGGAAGGGTTTACAAAGCTGTGTACGCGCGATATTGCTGTATGGATGTGAATCCTGGTCGATCCGTGTGGAACACATGCGTAGTCTTTTGATCTGTGACAGCAGATGTTTGCCCGCGTGTTGGCAACGCCGAGTGCGGTATGGTGACGTTAGGCGCCGCGTCCTGGGCAAGGCGGATGTTTCGGTTTGTGATGTCATCTGGCTGCGTCAATTGAGATGGTTTGGCCATGTCCTGCGCATTCCTAACGAGCGTTTACCACCTCAATCCCAGTTTGCGCACGCAGGGTTACTTTTGGAAAAGGCCGCGTGGTGGTCAACCGTCCACCTGGCAACAATGCATGAAATCAATGACATCTTGCCTGGTCATCGCTGGTCCCGTTCGACTCCCCGGTTTGGGACTCAAAGATGAAGAATTCCAATAGCTCACAACGCTGGAAGCAATGGCGCCAAACCGGTCGCAGTGGGAGCAATATACATAAGTCCGCCTGAACTCACGTTCACGAAAACACAAACATAAAAACCGTAAAAAGACGTGTGCAAAAAATACGGCAGTTTGCTGTTCGGTTTCTTAATTTATTATAAAATCCTTTTAAATGCTTTGTAAAATTTAGTATTCTTTATTCCAAATTCGATGAGCTTGAATAACTCGATGTTTATATTATAGGCTGTTGTCCATATATATATATATATATATATATATATATATATATATATATATATATATATATATATATATATCAAGAAGGAAATGAGGGTAAACCGCAAAGGATGAATGACACGATCAGATAGGTAAACACGAACAGAACAATGAAATGACGGATGGATTTGTAGGTATGACAATACACCAACACACTGCACTGATGCGTCACAGCCATTAGGCCACAACCGGTTGACCGTGGGATGGGATGCTGCAGGGATGCCGAAGCTCATGCAGAAAAGAGCACTAGAAGGTGAAACACAGAGTCTGCAAAAATACGCCTAAACTACTGACCTCGTGAATCCCAAAGAGATAAACTGAGTCGAACTAGGACTAAGCGTTAAATAAGCAAGCATTCCATCTACCTGACTGTGAAGCTCTTTGTTCTCCTCAGTGGTTTTGATATTTCTCCTAAGCAAATCGGACACCTCTTGACTGAGAGAGGACATCTCACTCCGTAGTAATCTGTTCTCCAAGTGGACATCACTGTTTGTGTGAGACTGAACGGTTGGGGTTAGGTCGATATGTCCAGGAGTAGTGCTGTCAACAATGTTGGTGTGAGAATCGCCGATACCAAGACGAAGATCGTCGTTTTGCTTCCGAGGATCCGTGGCCTGGACGTGAGTGGTTGATGGTGAGGTGCTTGACAAAGAGGCCAACGTGACGCTAACTGACGCAGCCCGAACATCGGACGTGGATGTATCCGCCGCTATCCGGGGAATAACATCTCCATTCCGCATGCTTGAGGTACGGCGGTAAGAGAAATGCCGATTAGAGTGAGTGAGTGTGAAGCCACATTATGAAATTTTAAAGATAATCGAAAGGCAAATGGGGCGACACAAAATGACCTGGATGCTCGACTGATTGTGTATTTGTTCAGGGTTATTCAGGTGGTGAAATATGCTCGTTTACCTTGATAGCCATTGGCTGTTACAAGAGTAGTAAAGGAAGCAGCCCACTCCAGAAAAAGCGTAACCTATTCTGCAATGGATACAGGCCACAAATAGTAAACTTTACGGTAAAAAGGAAATAGGATATTGCTAACGCCGCAGCAGAGACATGATCATCGTCTACTAGTTCGAATCCGGACAGAGCAGATTTGCGCTTGTCAGCATAAGGGATTTGGAGTGTCACTAGGGAAAAGCACACTGCCATGAATAAAGCGGACAAATTATAATGTGTCTGCAACGTGTCTCCTAGTCATGTCATTATTTGCAAAACTGTAATCTCCATGTGTGGTCAGAATGCAATAAATTGCATTTAGAAAGCAGTAATAGAAGAGGCTTCCATCAATACAGTGCGATCATCAAGACTAAATGTGCGGCCAAATAATGACGTATACGAATGAAAGTTGTGGGATTCGGTGAAATTCTTTACATTTCACTCATTATGACTCGTAGTCAAGAATACCAGATTATGGTCAATGCAACAGCTGAGCTGTACTGTTTAATTCTAAATATTATTTAGCCGAAATCTCCAACGCATGTTTAGTAACTACCCTCGCAACTGTGCACTCTCATTTCTCATGAGCATAGTGAGGATAAGTCCCCACTTATTGACTCTGGCTACTCCACTATTGACCTCGCGTTATGGAACCACAGCTTATTTCTCACGTGTTTTCCGTTGGGATGAACAGCTGATGGAAACATGCAAGAAATTACAGCGTTGAGAATTATGGTCCTACTCCTACGTTACGGTACTCAGAGAGAAGAAATGTCATGCAGCAACATAAAATAACAGAAGCGCGTCGAGGGGCTGGGCGATTAGGTGTTGCTTTTAACACATCTCTATTGAAGTTTTACACGATCACGAGGGCAACAGAACTCAAGATCTTAAGATATAGTTGTGTGTCAACAAAATTGTACGTTGCGGTCTTTCCTCCACCTAGGAGGACTTCAAATGTTCTCTGTTACGCATAAAACTTTACTTTCCACTTCTGAAAGCATCAAACAAATACTTTGTTACTGATATCATCGTTCTCATACCCTGTCAGGCAGTTTAGATAATGCACCAACAAGACGGTGTTCCAAGAAAACATCGTCCACATCAGAATACGTAAAGTATGGGGGGCCCAGGTTTAACATAGGCAAAATTTTCACATCGTATGGCAATTACATCGTAACACAAAAAGATTCCACTTAACCTAATTAGCTTGCATCATTTTCAGGCAGTTACTCAGTTGAGCATAGATTAGACATCAAGGCGTGAACCTTGAAATTAAGTCCTGGACAGAAAAAAAGAAATATTATGTTTCGGAGTTGAACTCGAAGGTTCGCTTTCATTTTTCATCATCGCAGCAGTATACATGGTGGCTAGCGCAACGTGATTTTCCCCATTCACAAAAGAACTCATAACGATGAAATCCAGTATAAGTGAAGAGAAAATAGGCATGATGAAAAAAAGAATGATGGCACTCCGGCAATTCGCACTGCTGCCTCGCTGTCCAGTTAAAATGAGCTGTGTTACGCCGGTTAGGAAATAGGACCTGCGCAATCAAAAGAAGGCAGTTTTTCATTGCGTCGACCCGGAAATGAAGTATCTCCGAATGTCGATCAAGCCGGTGTGGGTATTGCATTGAGCATCCAAGGTGCAGCGGATCTGTTCAACCGGATTTCTATCAAGTGTTGGATATGCGCTACCCGACTGGCTGCCCTATTCAAAGCCTCGAAGTCACACGGGGCCAATAGGTGTCTGTTTCGCATTGCTACTTACTTCCCTACTAAATGTATTCCTGACTCTGTGGAAGATGACTTCTATCGCCAACTGAACGAGCTTTATCGTCACAGTAGAACCATAGCTACTGTAATGCTGACCGGTGATATAATATTTACAAATAGTGAGCAGCATAGGCAGAGCACAGCGTTGGCTTCCGTAATGTTCACCATGAGCGACTGCTACAGTTGTGGGAATACCCCATTCTTTTCTCACGAGCACTAACTTCTGACACATCACTCGTCGCGAGGTCACATGGCGTTCGCCAGCCTCGCCTCATCCATGGACACGTAATGATCACCACCACAGTTGGAGACAGAGCGTGCAAAACAATCGCTCGATGTGGATCCCAAGTGTCGATTTCGATCATGCAGATGTATGTGTTGACCCGCGAGTGGTTTTCGGTAGATGCTAACGACGATATTTTGAACGCATAGACACTCGTTAAAAGGCGAAGCCTTATATCCTTATTTCGCAGTAAAGCCCCCTTGGCATTTTGGCTTAGTAAGTGCATACTGATAACACGGATGAAAGTCCCTGATCGTAGCAGGTGTCTTCATGTGGCAAATCAGACTGTCAACGTCGATAAGGGGTCTTTACGCAGTTTCCGGAACTACTCAGTGTTCTCAGACGCATTCCGCTTGGGGGCGAACATAACGAGATTCGCAAAAAATGAAGGCGAGACTGCGTGCAAGCCTCAAGTGACACCGCGAAGCCTGGTGGTTCCTTTGTGCATCAAAAATGGAAACGTACGCTGGTAAGCATCGGAAGTGATTCCGTGTGACTCGGAAAACGGACAGCAGAAGACCTGATGTTAGTGAACCTACATGCGAGGAGAGGACAGACTATACATAACCTATCGAAACGACCGAGACATTGGACTGAGCAATATGAAAATCTAATCAGTCGGAACTACAAGATTCGCTGCCGTCCAGTGATCGCCATATTCCCTGAGCTGCCTCTTTGGAGCCATCTTCTTGCGCGAAAGTCGAACGTGAGATCATACCGTTGCTGTGGGTTTCCTCCAACCCTCTTTATATTCAGCGAACCAACTCTTGTGGAAGACCGATACGACTTATTAATGCGAATGTTGGAAAAGAAAGCTGCTCCGTTAAGGTACCAATTTTCAAGAGGGTTCGTGTTCGGAATGCGGAAGTCACAGAGGAATCAATCTGCCTCCTACCGCATATAAGTTACTTGCCTGTCATCCTACACAGATTGATGGACACACGTGAAAAACTAGATCCGTAAAGAGCAAGTTAAATTTTGTCGAAATCGAAGTTTTACATTACGTCGACAGTTGGAACAGCATCATATTCGGTGGCGACCCATCGTAACTGTATTCCTCGGCAGCAAACGTGCTTTCGATTCGGCGGATCGGTGAGTGCTTCGGAATTGGTTGATCAAGAAAGGTGTGACAGAATCACGTAAACATCACCAGATCGTCTTACATGCGTATCTCGGGCTGTGAGCACTTATGGCAAACGGTCACCGCCTTTCAACGTCTCCAGTGGTGTGAGACAGGGATGCTCCCTGTAAAGTTCTTACGTCAACCGCAATTCAGGCAGTTATAGGAACGGTTTACTGGACACAACTTAGGTGTGGAGCTGCTTTCAGGTGACCGATTTCATGACTTAAAGCATACCGACGGTTTTGTTCTAATCTGTAACAGTCGGCTTGTGGTTGAAAGGATGTCGCATGTAAGCTGTACCTAGAAGGTTACCGGTTCGGAGTATGATAGGTGCGGGACCTCACCGATCTCCTAGACAGGTAGTGGTCGCGCGGAGGCGAAGTATGAATGTGGAGCGCCCATGTATTACTGAGAAAAAAGCTGCGACTACTAACAAAAGTGCTAAGTAGCACTGGACAAATTGGCACTGGATAACAATCGTTTCAGACTGTTTTTCTTCAGGGGTAACAAGGGCTCACCCCTGTGCTAATTCTGTGAAAATCAGCTAGAAGTTGTTAATAAGTCAAATTACCTAGTAAACCATGTCCGCGTCTATGAAATAGAAGATGAGATCACAAACCGTAGAGCGCACAGCCTTAGGGATCGCAAGCCTGCATTGTGATCCGAGGGCACGGGTCCGAGCCTGCGTAGGAGACCGGACGACGCCCGCAGCATCCATAGCCCAAGTGCGACCAGCGGTGGTTACGCGGCAGTAAAGCATCGGTGCTGCGTACCGCCGTACTGTTTATATCTGCTTTCTTCTTCACCACTTACGGCACCGGAGAGGCTACACTCTCTCCCTGAATAGTGGAGTCTATAAAGCTCCAATCAGTTTGACCCGATTGGATTGACAAACGCAGTAGTAAATTGCGTTCGACTACGACGCGTTCGCAGTTCGGCTCAGATCTGGTGGGAACATCGTGTGAACAACGAGTGAGTTTTTCGGCTTGCTTATAATGCAAGAAGAGATAGTAAACCGATCGGTACCGCTTTTTCATGCATCAGGCTATAATGATGGGCCATGTGTTGCGCATGCCAGCCAATAGGCTCTAGTGATTTGCGTAGTGTGCACAAAGAGGAGGAAACCGATGAACCGGTCAAGAGGAATGAAGGCCAACATAATGAATTTGACATCGGTTGGTAACTCGCTACTCTCGAAGAGCATTATTATTTGGAGACACTTCTTGACATGACTAAGCGTAAACTTCGATGTCATTTATGTGTCATGGCAAGGAGGCTGGACCTTACCGTGGTGCGATGATTTGCGTTCCTCAGTGATCCATTGAGCTATGCTGGGTGGTGCGTTTTGTACATTCATAGTGACTTCATAGATTGGCCAAAGACTAGGGACCAAACAAACTCAGTCTCCCGATCCTCTTAGGTTGGTGGATGGAGTGAAAGTGGTTCCTTATTCCTTAAAACTGACTTAGTGTAGAGCACTGCCAAGCCTTGCGGTCATATTTTTGAACCAAAGGCTTTGATTGAGAATCCTAATCGTTCTCCTATCTAGGCCTGGCAAGCTGACAGTATCCCATCCACGCAATACAATGACTTTACCTTCAAACCAATTTTCGATGCTCTCTGACTGTCGCAGAGGATAATCAACAGGGCACTATCTGATGTATCGAGCGGGGTGGCTAGGGATTTGAATGCCACTGCTCAAACCTTCTCGTCTTCTTATTCTCTCTCTCTCTCTCACTCATGTTTTTCATTCTTTTCGCCCCGTTCCAACTTCACTTTCATCCCCCCCCCCGTTTTCAACCTCCTACTGCTTCCCCTCCTCCATTCTACTTTGATAAACGTTTAGCCACTAGTTTCAACTTACATGCAACAGCGCAGCGCCACCCCTGCCCTGTCAGCAAGCTCAAGCTCAACCAAGTGGTTAAGCCCAGTTCAACGGCTTCTGTTTGGAACCCTCGATGCTTCCTCAGGTTGGCATGCATCAACACACGCGTATTACTACAGGTCGGTCAACAGACAGCACTTGCCAGAATAGTAGAGTCACTTGGTTAATAGCAGCTGCTTAACAGAAAACCCGCAAGCAAGACTCGAGCACTGTGCTCACTACACGATCCTCTTCAGGTCACACTAGCAGTGCTTTCTCATTGCGCCAATCAGTAGATGATGCAGCTTCGAGTGTCGGTCAAGCCGGTGTTGATATTGCCCTGAGTTCCAGGGATGAAGTTGCTTTGATCGATTGGATCCCAATGAACAGCCGGATGTGTACGGTCCGATTGGCTGACTTGTTCAAAGCTTCGAAGTGGCGCAGAGCCAATAGATGCCTATTCATCATCGCTGCATACGCGCCCACAAACTGTAGCATTGACTCGGTGGAAGACAATGCTAGGTATAATAAATAATGTGTCGATTGTACGCTGTAACGGCACTTCGCTGCCGCACGACCACCACTAGTAGGGCGTGGGTTGAGTATACCGCGAGGACGCCCGCCCCTACGCGGATTCGAATTGGTGACCTTAGGATTGCAAGCCAGGCGTGTAGACCACTCGGCCACCGGAGAACTGAACGAGCTCCTTCGTCACAAAAGGAGCATGGACAGTGCGGTGCTGGATGTAGAGTGTGAACGCGCACTTTGGAGAATTGTCCACTGATGAGCTGCATCTGTTGTGGGCTACTGTGATGAGAACGGTGAGCTAATTACTTCATTGGTGTGAAGATGCTCGTGTAGATTTTGCGAGCACTATGCTGAGACACAGCACACGCCGGAAAGTGACATAGCGTCCACTAGCTTCAGACCAGCTACCGACACAAGTCGATCACAAAAGGATCAGTTACCGCTGGAGAGACTGTGACCAAAACTGATGCTTGATTTGAAGCATACGTGTGGACACTGGCCATGCGCTTGTACGTGCGGCGTACACCCACGTCGACCCTGTTAGCACATAAACATCAGCCAATCAGTAGTCAGATGTTCTGAATGCGTATCGAAGTACGCTGGCATCCGGATTGGGTAAGCGCACAATGAAAACAGTTGAAGATCCATCAGACTTCATTAGCAGCAGGTAAATCCTCATGTGGCACATCGAATCAACAAAGTGGACACCAGGTCTCTTAGCGATCTCTCGAAATTATCGATGCTCACCGGCACATTCGGGCTGGGAGGGAATACAGTGAGACACACAAAGACCTCAGGACAAAACTGCGTGCCAGCCTGAAACTTGCTACGCTGATCATCTGACGGAGATTGGAGGAACTGCTGCCGTCGGTAATCATCAGAAATTATTCCGTCTGATATAGGAAACGAGCAGCAGAAAGACTGTAGTTAGTGAAGCTATATGTAACGAAAGTAGGCAGCCTATCCACAACTTGTCAAAACGCTTAGATCGTTTTGCCGAGCACTTTAAAAGGCAATTTATTCGGCCGAATGTCAGATTTTTCACCGGTCAGTGGTCGCCCTGCTCTTTGGGCTGTCCCTATGGATCCATCTTCGCGCTCAGAAGCCGAATGTGAGATCGGACTGCTGAAGCCGAATAAGGCCGCAAGACCAGATCATCTTCCTTCTGCCTTATTCAAAATCGGGGGATCGAGTCTTCTTGATGATTTACACGAATTACTAGTGAGATGTGGTAGCAGGGACCTGTCCCAACCGCCTGCAGATACTCCGTTATTGCCCGGATCTTCAAGGGAGACTTCATTTCGGAATGCGGCAAAAATGGAGGAACCAGTCTAATCTCCATCGCCTCCAAATTGCTAGCCTCAGATTGACACGCCACTGACTGGCACACCTGAAAGCCAGATTTCGTAGAGGTCGCGACTGCATCAATCATATCTCTATTTTGCGTCAACCGTTGGAGCATCGTCACATATATTTGCGGCCCGCCGTTGTCATGTTCCTCGATAGCAAATTTGCTTTCGATTCGGTTGATCGAGGTACCCTTTGGGACTGTCTACTCAGGAAAGATGATCCCGAGAACCATGTAAACATTATCCGAGCGCTTAACGCTCGTAGCTCAGAGAGAGTGTGGGCTTACGGCAAGCTGTCGTTTCCCTTCAATATCTCCAGCAGTGTGATACCAGGATGCCTCATGTGGTTTTTCCTCTTCAACTTGGCCACTGACGAAGCCATGAAAATCGCGTTTACAGGACACGTCTCAGAAGGTGTGTAGCTGTTTGCTGGTGAGGGACTTCTTGATTTGGATTACGCCCATGAAACTGACCTCTTCTGTGACAGCTCACAAACGTGCCAAGCTACAATGGCTGTCAGCTGTTTCGAAGTTGCTTTGAAATCGAGGAGTGCAAACCTTTCCTTAAAAATCGGCACGGACCGCCTCCTGCGCTGATTCTCGGTGGGGATCAGCTAGTAGTCGTCCAAAAATTCAGCTGGCAAGCAGTTGTATCAGCATCTGTCGAATCGAAGATAAGGTCACAAAACGTAAAGGAAAAGCTCGAGCGCTTTCGCTAGCTTTCGCCAGGTATGAAGCCAGTGCAAAGTCACTAATAGGCAGACATAAAGAGGATAGTTACGTTCGACCATCGCTGCCTTCGCAGTTTGGCTCATATCTGGTGGGAATCACGTGAACAATGAGTGTTCGACGCATAAGAAGAGGAAGTGAAGCGCTCAGCAGCGTTTTTCAAGTACCAGACTCCGATGGCTGGGCCACGCAGTGCGCATGGCAGCCCAACGGCTCCCGCGATGTGCTTTTTTTCGCCCTGGGGGTGTGGATGGAAGAAGAGGAGAGGCGGCCAAGCGATAACTTGTTCAAGAGGAATGAATGCCGGTGCCCGAGTGGTCTGCGCACCCGGTTTGCAACCATAAGGTCCGCGGTTGGAATCCGCGTAAGGGTGAGCGTCCTTGCAGTATACTCAGCCCACGCGCGACTGCTGATGGTCGCGTGGCAGCGAAGCGTCGTTACGACATATAGCTGACACATTATTATTAATTTTTTTAATTAAAATGAAAGCCTTTAATTCTAATTTGGTCTTGATTGGAGCCTTTCGGCTCCCTGGTTGGGGTCTAGAAGACCATGAACACGTTTGGCTGGATACACTTGTTTACGTGGCTAGGAACGGACCTTAGTGATGTTTGTGTTATGAGTTCCTCTATCCTGTTCCTCACACATAGCCCGGCATGAAACCACGACTTCATTTCCTAGGTAAAATGTAACCCCATTTTGCGTTACAATAGCGTGTTCGTAGTTCTCCGGAACGATGCCCATCCGCTACTGGTAGACCAGGTGCCGTGCTAGGGCTTTTCTTCCTTGTTTACGTATAGTAGCACAATAATTGAGGTGTGTTCCCCTCCAGCTAAAGTGCATAATGATGAGGATGAGGATGCTGCAGATGATGATGATGAGGACGATGATGGTGATGGTGATGATGATGAGGATGATGAGGATGGAGATGAGGATGATGGATGATGACGATGATTGTGCTGAGTTGCTCTATTTCCGCCTCTTACCTAGCCTCCCCATATAAACACCATTTCACTGATGATGTATAATAAAAAGGGAGCATTTCGTCGGTTTTATTTTATTACCGACTTCTTTACAACCATCCAATTGCCTTGCATTACGGCACAACAGTTGAGATGCTTCTCATCTCTAATCAACATAGAATGAAAATGTTTATCATCAGCTGATGTTCTTCCAAAAATTGACACCTCTCGAATAAGAGGGCAGTAATTCCTAGTATATTTCGGACTAGGTTAACATACCTTAATTGTTGCTTATTATGGTGAACCCAGTGCATGTCTTAGGTATACAATCTCTTCAGATGAAGTTGTGCGCGGTCTGGTTAGCAGAACGTGGAAAATGTTTAGCCGGCAGCACCTTAAATGAACCTAGTTTCGGAAAGCTTCCAGAATAAAAATTCAGGAATTCAATATGGTTTATAACGATGGTTTACAAATTAATATAGTCGACAAAAATGAGGGCTGCAGCATGATCAGATGGTTATAAGACGGCTCAAAGTTTCATACCGTTAAAAAATGAGCACAAGGTGAAGAGATGACATCAGAAGGAAGCAAAGCACGGCAGAAAAAAGGAAGCACCAGTGTAGTCACTGAGTATGCACCACTATTAATGGTGTCATTCGAAGAGCAGCCAACTCATACTGGGCAACAGGCGTCATTTCAGTAAACTTGTGGCATCGATGGTTGCGAAAGTAAATCGGCGTAGCGTAAAAATAGGGTCAAATGCATCGAACAGGTATACATCAACAATCTCGCAAAGCATGATGCAAAAAAATGAATAGAAGCTGCAGTACAATGGGAAAGTGTGGTGATTAGTACGGTAAGAAGACTCACGTTATGGTCTCGTGACTATACGCATCCCACTCCCACGGTCCAAGTGTATGAGAATCAGGCTCCCGTTTGACAAACTCATCACGGGAGATAGACCAGGACGCAGAGTGTTTCGGTTCTTCACCCTCATGAAGATGAGAGGGGATGTTGGGAGTGCCGGATCGATGAGTGGCAGTACGATAGGAGAGCTCATGCGGTGAATCGATTGCTTCGTAATCGGAGTCCCGCAGATCCATTTTGAGACCGTTCGTACGCAAAGGGCCGAGAGCATCCGCAGCGGAGCTGTCGATGTTGTTAAGAAAATTTTCAGCTTTGCTCACCAAACCAGATAACCAAGACATCTAGATGAGGGTAAAGGGATATGGAGGTTACAAGGAGCAAGTATGATAGAAGAATTTAAAATATCAGTTGACATCTGCGGAAATGTATGAGATATCAAACATCATTCAGCATCCAGCAATAAAGTAGTTAGACTAATGAGACGTGGATGGCTGGTTCAAAAATGACGGTCAGTGACAGACGCGTAACAGTTCAGCCGTTTCCGGGCCCAGACAACAGTTTGAAGTTATGTGAACCAGCTTCTCTGGATCTTTTACCGTTAACAAGATATTCACTATTACATGTTGCAGATGCCACTTCGATTAGTAACGAAATGTCTGCAACTGAATGGCAAGCAAATCAAGCCTCAACCGTGGAACTTCTACGTCCATGGATTCGAGTCCCGCTCCTGCTTGGAATTCGGTGTCTCTATGACACTCCGGCCACGTACAACTATTTGCGGTTTGAAGGCATCAAAGTACAGGTGCCTACCGCCGATGTGCTGCTGAAACAGTCTTAAGGTCAAATAATAGACTTCAGCGCCATTTATTCGATCTTCTCACAAAACATGAGCAACACTGTCCAAAGCATCACAGTGGTTAAACACGGCTAATCTCCCGACGTCTTTATCGTATAACGGTCAGAGCTTTGACCTTTACGGGTACACTGGTCGCATGACAAAGCTGTGGACACCGATGCCGCAGCACAGCTACCGCTTGAATAAGATTGACACATGTCGCTAGAAGGTACACCGCTTTCGTAAAAGCGCTAGGATCACAGGTAGGCTCGATGATGGAAGAGGGAAACGGCAGGTCACCGCCAAGTGTACGTGAATCATGTATGCCGCACTCAAAGGTCCATAAATAAATGGACCACAAGAAGCGAGCACATGCATTATATGGCTAAAAAAATAAATATCCCATTGTGGCGAAGAAGCATTCATGATCACGGGAACACTGCCCGACCGTTGGGATAGTGTCAAGATTTGTCTGCTCATGAATGACGAGCATTCACCTTGACATAGCGCAGGATGGCCCTGAAACCATTGTGTATATCAATCCTGTTCGGCCACGTTTATACGGAATATGGGACGCGGGACGGTGCTGTGAGCAGTAAATCGGAAATCCCTATGACCTCACAGTGAGCACCCATGTTATGTGAATTATTCACAGTGAGGGGGAAATAGGGAAAGTTCAGACTATGTTATGGCTTCAAGGAAGAACAGTCATAGTGCAAATTGTACGTGAGATCAGTCAATCAATGTTGGACTTCTGTTGCTTCACCGAGTGACATGTCATGCGCCAGAAGATTTAGGGACATTAGGATATGAGCAGTAGGAATATCGCAGATAGCTAGGTATTCGCATTGTGAACTGATGGTTTAAAGCAATTCGAAAACGAGCCACAACAAAAACAACGAGTGAGGGAAGTGGCACCATAAGTACATGGTTATAACCGAAAATAAACTCGGGCGTAGGGTAAACTTTATCCAGGAGAAGATAAAAATATAAAGGAAAATCCATTATATTAGCAATTAATCGATTATCTTCGGGCGTGCATTGATTTCGAAGATTGCGGAACGTTCCATTCCCTCACGTGATTGCCAGCATACGGAGTTTGGCAGGGAGACTGCTAATTTTACTAGTGGACTTTCGTTTTCTAGAAGCTGAAGATCAATGAGCCAGCTATATATTTGGCGTAGGTCTGGCGTAGTTGTACAACGTTTTGGCGGCGTTTTTGTTAACCCTTTTTTCATGGGCAAGGTCGTTGGACTTTGGATTTTTCTTCAGCTAGGCTAGAAATTTTGAGAAATTTTTGGGTGTTTAATTCGGAATAACGAGAAAATGTGAAGATCTGACAATGGCGACGGACAAGCACAAATATGTTACAAACTACTTCGCCGAACATTTTCAAAAGCTGCTACCTCAGCAACCATCCTAGATGCTCCCATCAAGTGGTTGAATGTACAGTCAAACGGAGAAGCTACACGGGACACGCAGGCTGTTTCACTTGATCTTGTTACGAATTCGATCAATGAATTTCATTATGCTGCTGATTCCGAATGCACTTTCGAGGCATGGTTCAAACGCTGGGGGGACATGTTCCGGACGGATTTCAACCATCAAGAGGATTCATGGAAAGTGCGCCATTTGCGCCGCAAGCTCGGTACCAATGAAGATTCAAGATTCGTCGACCACATCCTGCCCAAAAGCCGAAAGACAACACTTTCAACGATGCAGTGGCACTACTCAAAGAAAGTTTTGGTGAGTCAATGTCCTTGTTTAACATCCGCTACCAATACCTAAAAATTGGTAAGCAGGATAAGGACGATTATGAGGCACTAGCAGACATGGTTAACCGTGAATATGAACGTTTCAAGTTACGCTGTTTGACGCATGACCAGTTTAAGTGTCTCATATTTGTCAGTACTTTACAGTCTCCACGCGAGTAGAAATCCGCACTCGGCTCCTTGCTGAGTTCGAGCAAGATCCAGATTGGACATTAAAGTCACTTGTAGGCGAATACAAACAGTTGATTGCTTTGAAACACGACACCGCTATGATTGAGCAGAGTAGCTTAACCATTGCCGATACTGTTCATGCTGTACAAAAAGCAAGAAAGGCTGGCTCAAACAAGCCGTTAAATAGAGCGCCGAACAAGCCGCCTCCCCCTTGTTGGTCATGTGGTGAATGGCATTTCGCACGATACTGTCCATTCAAGCGTCACGTTTGTGATAAGTGCCATAAAGGCGGTCACAAGCAAGATTTTCGCCATCAGTCCATGCCAAGGAACGTAAAGCAGTCCAACCGAAGGAAGAACTTCTGGAAACGTGAGGCAGAATCACTACCAGTGACTGCCACTTTTCACAGCGATTCTAAACCACGCTGCCGATTCATCACTGTGCTCATCAAAGGAATCCCAACCAGGCTGCAGTTCGATACGGCCTCAGATATAACGATCATTTCTAAAAACACTTGGAAGCACATAAAGAGGACGAAGAGGGTTGATTCAAACAAAGTCGCCCACAACGCATTCGGTGGAGTGCTGAAGCCGGTCGGAGAAATAACTTGCAAAATTGCATCCAAATGAGTGGAACAGGCCAAAACCTGATACTTGTCTGACCGACCAAACTTGAACCTCCTTGGGCTTGACTGGATGGAAAAATTACAACTGTTAGATGTTCCAATGAGTCAGATTTGCAAGAGTCCAAACCGATCCAGTCTATGCATCATTGTCGATAGCAGATATGACGAGAAAGGTAAAACAGTTTTCCGTCTTGTTTGAAGATGGTCTCGGTCACTGCACCAAGTTCAAAGCAAAGTTGTGCCTTCGGGAAGGAACCAAGCCAGTCTTAAGAGCAAAAAGACCAGTACCGTATGCAGCCATGGCAGCAGTTGATCAGTAGCTCGACTGACTGGAGCAAGCCGGTGTCATCACACCAGTGAACTACTCTGCATGGGCTGCGCCGATCGATGCTGTGAGAAAGCTGAACGGTAAAGTGCGTGTCGGCGCCGATTTTTTGACTGGCCTGAATGGCGCACTGGACGACCATCAATTCCCCCTTCCGACACCAGAAGATATCTTTGCTAAGCTGAATAGTTGGAAGTGTTTCGCCAAGCTCGACTTGTCCGATGCCTACCTGCAGGTCGATGTTGTTGAAGCCTCGAGAGAATTGCTGACCATCATCGTGGCTCGTAGCAGTACAATCGCCTCCCTATTGGAGTGAAAACAGTACCAGCCATTTTCCAGCAAATGATGGACACCATGCTCGCGGGAGTTTCTGGAGCCGCGGCGTACCTGGATGAGATCACCTTAATAAGTCGGTGGGCAGAAGAACTATTTGAGCGGCTCGCTAAAGTGCTTGAACGCATCCAGTCATACGGTTTCCGTATACGCACAGGTAAGTGTACATTTTGACACTAACCATCAAACTCCTCGGGCTTCATTTTCGCAAAAGACGGCCGTCGCCCTGATCCAGAAAATATCCGAGCAATTCAAATGATGCGCCCGCCTGCGGACTTGCAATCGCTGCGTCCATTCTGTGGTCTATTCAGTCATTACAGCGCTTTTCTGTCCGAACTGCATTGCCTGCGTGTCCGCTGAACAAGTTGTTGAGCAAGGGCCAAAGTTGGAATTGGACGTCAAAATGCCAGACTGCGTTCGAGTGGCTCAAGCCATCGCTGGCATCAGAGCTACTCCTGACTTACTTTGACCCGTCCCGAGAAATTGTCCTTGCCACAGACGCATTAAGTCTAGGGATTGGTGCCGTAATTTCCCATACCTTCCCAGATGGATCTCAGAAGGCGATCACACATGCCGCCAGGACGCTAAGGAAAGCCGAAAAAAACTAGTCAGATCGAGGAGGCACTGGCCATAGTGTTTGCTAGAAAGAAACTTCACAAGATGCTGTATGATCGACGCTTCAAGCTCTTAACGGATCACAAGCCGCTGCAGGCCATTTTCAGTTTGAAGAAGGGAATTCCTGCCTATACAGCCAACCGACTCCAACGATGGGCCCTCACCTTGCTGGGCTACGATTTTGACATCCGTTATTAGTCAACAGTTTCGATGGGCCAGGCAGATGCCTTGTCATGCCTCATTGATTCCCAGCAACAAGAACACGAGGACACCATCATACCCTCAGTTGAGATCGAACCAGATGTCAAATTCCTGGTGAGCAAGGCTTTACGCGGTCTGCCAGTTACGGCAGAAGCTGGGCGGGCCGAAACGCTTCGAGATCCAATCCTGAAGAAGGTTACACACTTCCACAGAACCAGCTGGCTACGTTCGTGCTCATCCGCCGAAATGCAGCAATTCTATCAGCGAAGACATTCGTTCTCCATTGTGAGCGTCAATTTCTCAGAGAGAGTAGTCATCCCGCAGGCGTTGCAAGAAAGAGTGCTGCGGCAGTTCCATGCAGGACATTCAGTGCTCAACCGAATGGAAGCGCTTGCCCGAAGTTATGTGTATTGGCTGTTTATGGATAGACAGTTGGAACAGCTAGCCAGAAGTGGTAGCAACTGCGCTACCGCTTCACGGGCACCACCGAAGACTGAACTCCACTCGTGACCTAAACCAAGTAAATCTTGGTGACGTGTTGATTTCGACATTTCAGGCCCAATCAACGGCCAAAACTTTCTCCTAGTGGTCGACGCTTACAGCGAGTGACCCGAAGTGTCCCTCATGAGTAGCACCAAAACCAGCGCAACAGTCTCGAAGTTGTGCCAAATCTTCAGCAGGTTCGGCTGCTCTGAAACGTTGGTGACGGACAATGGAGCAGAGTTTACTTCGGCCACAATTACGAAGTTCTGAAAACGCTGCACCATCAAATAATTGCGGTCTCCACCATTCCAACCACAAGCGAACGGCCAAGCGGATAAATCTGTGGAGACATTCAAACGCGCTCTCCTCAAATCAAGGAGGGAGGGAGACATAAAAGAGGTGATCGACCGCTTCCTCTTTCTGTACCGATCTACACAAAATCCACAAACGCCGAGTGGAATATTACCAGCAGAGGCAATGATGAAGAGAAAGCTTCGCATGTTCTTTGATGCCGTTCGGCCATCCTCATAGCCCACAGTTGGTGGAAGGAACCTCAAGATGGAACGGGACTTCAATCGGCAGTATGGTGCTAAGCGACGTTCGTTTAAACCGGGCCAGCCAGTATTTATACGTGATTATCGGAAAGGATATGCAAAATGGACACCAGGCACGATCCAAGGCAAGGGTGGGAACGTCATTTACGACGTGATGGTTGGAACGCAGGTATGGGTACGCCATACAAAACAACTGCGACCAACATTGCGTCAGCCACAAGCGACGGAATCTGCCGAGTTTCCATTTGACCTGCTGACGGACAGCTTTAACTTGCTTAAAGGACCTGTGGAAAAACCCTGCCATCAGCAGTATGATACCAGACCGCAGAGCACAGATTTTCAATTCAGAACACTACAGCCAAGGCAATGGACCGATAGACGTAGAACACCTCCCAGGAGGCTTCAGGTCAATCCCAGACTAGCATCATACGCCGCGATAGCCGTTTCAGGAGGGGAGGTATCCGGGAAAGGTAAAAACATAAAGGAAAACTCATTATTTTAGCAAGTAATCAATTTTCTTCAATCGTGCATTGATTTCGAGGATTCCAGAACCTTCCATTCCTTCACGCGATCGTCAGCATATGGAGTTTTGGCGGGGAGGCTGCTACTTTTACCAGTTGACCTTCGTTTTCCAGAAGCCGGTCATTGAGACACCTATATATTTGGCGTAGGTATGGCGTAGTTGTACAGCGTTTTGGCGGCGTTTTTGTTAACACGTTTTTCGCGGTCAAGGTCGTTGGACTTTGGATTTTTCTTCGGCTGGGATGGAATTTGTACGGAGTTTTTGGGTATTTAGTTCGGAATAGCGAGAAAATGTAAAGATCTAACAACCATCTAATGATTTTAATAGCCACAACTTACGACTAACCTGTCTCAAACACACCACTTCCTAGAGAATCAGAAATGTTAGGTGTGTGGTCCGGCCAGGTGGGGACTAGTAATCAGACACCTTAAGGACATAAGCGACAAATATAGTGGCTCAATAGGATCGCATACATAAGGTAAGATGGGCCACCAGGCGCTAAATCAATGGGCGCCTCTTTCCAATCACGCAGCCATATCAAGGTCGATCAAAGCTGGAGGAGCATGGTACTTCACAATGTGAGTGCGTACACGTATACGCGCCGTGCACTCCGAGCCCAAGTGAGTTGCTAGACAGCATTCGGCGAGCGAGTAAACCAAGTCGAACACCAAGGTATAAGACGTAGTTCGATGAATGCATGAGCAGCTGACTTGACCGTTTGGAACAATATGAATGGTGAGAATGGGCCGAATACGGAACCCGGTCGGCAGTGAGGCGCGTGAATTCCAGTGTACAGCCATCATGATACCGAACGACCATGCACGCATCAAAGCCGCATACATCCTCACTGACATCAGTACTCAGTCGATGATTGATTGTCACCCAATTCGGTTGAACAACTATGATCCGAATACCGAAGTGCAGTGGAGTCAGTTTCCCCGACTCACATCGCCAAAATAACAACAAATAGAAAGAAGAAACTGAGGTTGAATGGAAATATAACGTAAAGGAGGTGCGTTAAACCAAACAGGATGGAACGGGAACTAACAACTAGATGCAAAAACGCCACTGACTGCGCTAGATTTGAAAAGGTCTCTAACCATTAGTGAGAACCATCCTGAAGCCCCCATTCACAAAGGCGGCATGTACCAGCCTGACTAAGTTTCTCAGTCAATTTCTTCATAGCTTTATGTCAAGTTATCGATCGATAAGCTCGTGGTTTCGCCTAACTTGTAGCAACTACACTATGTAATGTACACAGAAAAAGGCGGTTGACGAGCATAAGGAGATGTTCTGGCCAACGTAAGCAATGAAGAATCAGTAAACACTCAAGTGAGGTACCAGGGGGCTTTTGTCAAAAAACAAATTGACGAACCTCAGCATTGTTCACCAGGTGCTCCCATCAGAAGTGCGCAGTACTCCGAAAGCACCAGTGGTCAAAGACGACCAAGCGTTTAGTGACTACGCCGCGAACTGTCAAGGTCTCTGATCCCTACCTTTCACTGACAGGCTGATATCCCGCAGTCGCCATAGGCAGCTGAGCAACTGAAAAGCCACACGTGCCTTGCTGATAAGGGAAATAAGCTCCTCAGTGATGGGATCACCAGCTACCGATACACTAGTTCCAGTGGCTGTTCGGAGATAAAACCGGTGGTGTCTCGGTCCAGTCCTTTAACTTTTCCCTTCGAAGATGTAAAGCACATGCCGAAGAGTGCAGCGCTGCGTACCAGCTACCCGGCAGTGTTTGCATAGCCATGGCGTCAGACCCAAGAAGAGCTATGTGGTCCGCATACTCCAGGCTTGTCAGTCGGTGACCTGGCAGAAATTTCAATCCGGTAGAGTTTGAAGGAACCGAGTCATTCATTGTCATTTTGATTGCAAAACTGAAGAGTAAAGGATATAAAGGCCACGCTAAGGAAGCCCACTAGTAGTGGGGAACTCAGAAGACAGCTTTCTATGAACACTTAGACAGTTTCCGCTGGCATACAACCAGGAACTGAGAAATTGCCACACCAGCAATGAAGAAGAGAGACGAAGTGTGAATCCTATATACTTGAATCAAAGCTTCTTCCACCTGTCAACACCGCAGTGTACCAAAAAGTTGGCTGTCGGGTGAACAAACGGGGGCCAGAACGCTATTTTGTGATTTGCCATACCCAGCATCACCAATCTTAATGTAGGGGTAAACGAGCATCAGATGCGTGATGAATAGGTAGTTAGTTTAAGAAGCGATAGCAGTTCGTCTCGCATGTCTCTGGTCAAATGCATACTGGATCATGTGGACTCTAAAATGGAAGGTAACACTCGACAGCAGCATCCAATCGCATGGTCGGGAAATTCCTACCCCAAAGTACAATCTGCATACACTTGCCTCGAGCCTTACGTTACCCAGCATCCGGTCATTCATAGTAGGCGGCATATTTAACAAGCGACCGACTCGGAGGAAATTACCCGGTCTTGAGGCGTGCATGCTGATGCGTCATTTCACACGAGTGATGCAGTGCAACTAAGGATGCACAAAAAATGGAAAGCATTGGAAATTCGTAAGCCAAAAAGTAAGTCTCAATGCGCTAGAGGAGATGCGACTACGGTGGCAATGTGTGTAAAGCCAAACGTAACCCTATTCTGGCTCCGATGATGCTGAAAAGTCAGAAAGATGATTCTGATGTTTGTAACAGATCAACGAAGCTCAGTGACCGCAAGATAAGTGAGCTGAGCGAACTCTCCCCGGTTCCATGTCGTAAAGTAGGGAAGGGTAAGCAAGCGGTTGTTGGTCCTGCAACAACAACCACGCATAACAGAGAGATAGGTCAGAAAAACAAGTTTATTGAATGTTGACTGAGCCGCGTTGTCAGTGTGCAACAGTTACCAACCAGTTTTTCCCAGAAGGTGCGTCAATCCGTGAGTGAGCAGACAAGTTAACACTCCGTGACTGAGTGTGCGATGCAAGTAAATGGAAACCCCACTCGTTGTCCGAGAAATCGTCGTAAGTCTTACGGCGACCTGAAACGTTGGAGTGGACATATGACGGATTCGCTAATAAGTACAGATACCATGCACACTTAGCCCGACTATTGGGAGTAAATCGGTTCAATGAAGTAGAATGGATCTCAAACAACGGGAAGCACTTTTTCGGTAAAACTCACGTAAGGCTAACGGCAATAGTGCATTTTAGTGTCATCAACAAAACACTGTTGATAACACAGTTGCAACAAACCCAACGCAGGTGGATATAATTTGGACTACGAAAAAAGGCCTCCATGCATCACAATGCAAACAACACGCACACGATGGAAGATCGATAATGCAGAGAGATGATACGCCCAGACGAGAAGCGCAGTTTAGTCTGCTCACATGACGGACGAGAGATACAAAAGGGAACGCCGTAGCAACCGTGGAAAGTTTGTATTGCATGCGCCGCCCTACACGGTACAAGGTGGAACAATCAGAAAGGAGGGGTTTCTGATGGTGGGGTGGAAGAGGCGGCGGGAACCAACGAAGGTGAGTGGGGAACAAATTAGGCTGAGGACGAAGTGAATCTGTGATGAAAGGCACTCTGACACAGACGCGCGAGGACACAGGGGTCATATGTAAAGTCACCGAGTGAAAATTTGAGGAGGAAATAACAAAGATGCACTAGACAAAAAATTGAAAGAAAAAAACGAGACGGCAGTATCACAAAAGCAGAATACAAAAAGAATTGGCTGCTGCGATGGTACATGAAATTGAAAGTGCATAATGCATACGATATGAGCAGAACAGTACAATCTGGCAACCGTCCGGCAACACGCCAAACGATCTGATATGCGATGCAAGCCGGCACAGCGTCCGAAAGGCACACACAGACATTGGTGCTTGGCATTCCTCCGGTACGGTGGTTACTACTTCATCATGAGCTTAGCGGCTGACAAACCAAGATTGAATTTGGAAGATCCTTCATCTGGCTTAGCGGTCGGCCTTCTGCAATCAGAGTGAGAGAAAAGTGAAGCTTCAAGATGGGCAAATGAAAAAGAACAGACAAGATGAAAAAAGTAGGACAATAGGAAAATACAGTATCTATTAAATGTAGTAGAGTATAATCACAATGTAAAATGGAAGTGGACACTAAAACGGTCTGCAGGCAGTGGACATACTGGGAGATCGAGCACATCAAAAGAACTAACCAACACTATCGACAGTATTCTGAGCGAAAAACGGGCGAGAATAGATCTAGCAGAGAATCAGAGAACAACAGAAGTTGCTAGATGTTAACGGTTGGCTGTATTGAACAACAGCGCGATATAATTCAAACGTGAAGATTAAAGCAAAGTGCTGGTTCCCATGAAAGCCATTTCTCTACTCCTGTCAATGCCGTTCATGTCGTGTCATTCCTTGTGTGGCACCTTATTTCTTCTAAGCGATCGTCAGCTATTGCCAAGTGTTGTGCCCGGTTACGAGCTTTGACCCCTTACTGATGCTGTTCGAGTCCTATCGGATGAACAACGAACAACAATGCGTCCAGTGCAAACAGGACATCCACAGCACACTTCTGAAGTCGAATAAGCCCTCGTAAAAGACGTAGTGGAACGTAACGCGACAGGCTGTGAGGGGTGCATGATTGGAATACGCGGTTGTCTTTCCTCTAAGCGTGTAATCGCTAAAACGTCTCGTTGCTTAGATTCTAGTGAACATATTCTCAGTCTGGGTGCAACGCTGCCCTGCTACTGTGAGCGCTCGACTGTGAGAATAACACAATTTTGCTAATCTGAATAAGAACATTGATTACGGGGTTGCGTTGCATGGCAATTTTTGAGTATAGGCGCACTACTGAGGACGTAACTGACGGTTCTAAACAATCTCTTACTCGTCTCCGCAACTTCACCGTACTCTTCTATGAACCAATCTCAGTATATGCACCATGATTTGCTTGGTAATAAGTTCAACTCATCTTACGGGACCAAAAAGCATGAGGATGAGGTAGGTCGAAAAGATCACTGTGTCACGTTATCATGAGGACAAAGCGTAACAAAAGTGAAGCAATCCAAAAAGAGAAAAACAAAGCGGAATTCGTCCGAGAGGAAGGTGAATGAAGTGGAAGACGGTAGAACTGGAAGTGTCAGAGCACAATCGACTGCACAACCGTCAAAGCACACGCACAGAGGTTTCAAAAGAAAGGGGCTAGCTGATCGTGAGACATCTGATCCGACGAATGACGCGGTATCGCCGGTTAAGCGTTTGTGGTCAACTTATCAGTAGCGAGCGATTGCGGAATAGCGTTAGTAAAATAAGTAGATAAGGTGTAAATAACATAACGCAGCATACGAATTCCAAAGGGTGAAATGTCATTGCCAAAAATGGTAACGGGTTTGGCACAAGACAGATAACGAGCAGACAAAATAATATATTCCCAAGTCTACACGAGACAAACCATTGAAGGCATGATCAGCTTAGTATAACCACATATATGTAGATCACAAACTAATAGTGATTAATTCTTGTTAAAGTGACGGAGAAAATTCATAATGTTCCAAAACGTAATGAGGTGGGCTGTGATAACGTTTTGAGATTGCATTGCATTTCCGTGTTTCGCATATACTGTTTTTCCAGTTAAGAATACATAACGATGTGGATTTTAAGATCGCAAAATGTCATTGAGCTCGAAAGATAACATAGATTTGCAGTGCTTTTGGTCACGCAAGTTATGCTGTCATCGAACGGATTCGTGGCGGAAATATTCGCAGTCATCTGTCACTGTTTTCCATTCGCCTGTTGAGTGGTTTCCACATTATAGTGAGTCTTGAAACGAACACCGTTGTTGCAAATGTAGATTGTTCATATCGGGAGTAATCAGTAAATTGGCTTGTTTAGTATGTTATTGTGACTGCGTTCCGGCGAAGAGCCCATGGACCAGGTAGGTATTGCAAGTCTTCGATAATTATCCTGTGTTGGATTTCGATCATGCACTATTATATACAGTAGGATCGCATAGTTTCATAAAAGATCACGTGTATACCTTTATTACCAGCGGTTAATCAGAAATCTCCGTGACAATTAGTCATGTTTCAAAGGCTGTGGAAGCGTTTCTGAGCAAAATACTGGTTCCGCATCGCTAGTAAAGAACTTAGCAGTTGAAAAGTCATGAGGAAAGCCCTTAACGTGTGGCATTCGATTCTGAGATCGAATCCGTGGTTAATTGATGCTTCCGTATTAATCGTTTCTGCCATCCAACCACAATGTCTTAAGATCCCGTACACAGGTGGTAGTGACTACCGAGATTTTGGTATTGAAAATGGATAACAAGGGAGTAAACTAGATTGATGTCAAATTTGGCGGAAGTCAAGTAAAGAGGAATAGATAGGCTAAATACATGGAGTCGAATGAGAGACAAAAAGTAAGCAAAGGTTTCACACGAAGTATGCCCCCTAATAAACCCGTTCCTGTGGGTCTTTTTGCTCGCACTACCGTAGTGAGTGAAAACAATCGGTCGAATCCGGCAAAGCGCGAACACTAGGCAAAGCAATCGACTAGGTACTGATGCATACGGTGGAATAGTGTTAGAACTATGCCCAGTTCAGTCCACTACGTCAGTCTTGGTCTGTGCATCCGCATGAGGTGAACACGGCTGCATTGACAAAGTCAAAGTAACAATCATAAAAACAATCCAAGGGAAAGAGAGGAAAATACGGTCGCCAGATGGAGTGGATGAGGACCATAAAGGGAAAGAATGTAACAGCGTCGCTGACCCTGCGACCGCTCCGCATTCGCTGAAGCATTTGACCACGGAGGCGGCCGATCCAGAGGACAGTATCCAAGAAGGCGATAAGTAGCAACCAAGTATCGCTTTTCTGCGATCATCTTGGTTTAGTACATCATTGGCGGATCCCTTCAGGGCTTCACGCAATCACTAGAACAAGTTTGATAAACTGGAAACAATTAGTGTTCGACAGACACTTAACTGCGAAGACGGAAGGTCTATTGCGAAACACCGAATGACAAACTACAGCATTACTCGCTAGGTCATCGCAGTTCCTGTCGAATACCCTGTTTCTTAATATCCTCAGCGCACAGCTGCCAGATCACGAATCCATACAGTGGCACCAGTAATGCATGGTTGGCGGCATCCGGTTCCGGATTTGCATGTCATTGTGGCCACGGAACGCCTGCGCCAACTGATGGACCATGGATAGCTTGTACAGCCCATTCACATACTCCAAGCTGTGTAAACCGGAAGGAATAAGAACGGGAGGTATGTGAATGGGAGCTACGGTTCACCAACGGAGATGGCCTACAATCCAAAGCAACAGCAGCATTCCTTTCTATCTATGTAGGGGAGCATGCGATGGCTGGACCGTAGTCCGCTACACACAGGATGCATGAGACCACTCTCTGATCCTAACACGGCCACGAAGATCGTCCACCACGTCCTTCAGCAAAGAGTAGCAGTCTCCTTGGTCCAGTAACCGAGGCGGACGGTATTAGACTGGTAGGCACCTTGTCAACATTCACATCAGGCGCAGTCACACCGGGGATGTCAAACAACCAACACAGAATTTGTAAGAGAATAAACACGCAAAATTGACGCGGAATTTGCAGCAGAATAACAGAACTGGGGAAATAAATAAAAAGGAATACATCTTATTCAGGTTTAAAAAATCTAGTTTAACTAAGTCGCTGTAGCCCAACTGCGGTGAAATATGATGTATGCAACATCAACCACAGCAGCGCCGTAAACACCTCCCTCAACCAATAATTTTACACCCCGTTATCGCCATAAGTGATGGAGTTGTTGGAAAACTATGGGAACCATAGCAAAGCGTGTGGTAATCTCATCGGTGATGCGACCACCGGTGACACAGATAAACGGAGGACAATTTTCAATGGCTCTTGAAGCACTGGAGAATGTGCTAGTGTGCAGGAGAGGGCCTGAAGTAGTAGTATGCAACTTGAAGGTATGGAGCACACACCAAAGCGGGCAATTGTGTCCGAGCAGAAAAGAGCTATAGAAGTCAGTCAGCTAACAGAACATCTATCACGGAATAAGTAGAAGGACGAAGGACAATCATTTATTGTATACTAAAGATAAGGAGCTGAAAGATATACATCTGTGTTGCTCTATTGATGTAACACCGTACAGGTACATGGAATAACGCTGTTTAGTACCACACGCTGTCAATGCAGTTCGGCTGTGAGACATTGAAGAGAAAGATAGGGAAAGCCTGATGCACGCCAGTTGTCGTAGCGTACTCAGAGGAGTTTTGTAAACCCTTATGTAGCCACAGTAGAAAAGAGAAGCTTCTCAGGCGCTCTCTTCAAGGATGTACACCAGAAAGAACAAGTGCGATGAACCGAAATAAAAGCAGCTTTCAAGTTCAGGAAGATTCACCGGATAGACTGCAAGTACAGCGGTGTTTTAGAAATTGGCGGAGAATGGGACTGTGGTCAATGCGCCCACTGTTCGGTAGAATCAGTGGGTCACCCCAGTAAGATGATGCGTGACAAAAGGTTGGATAGTACTGAGATAACGCTGATATCTAAGTGATCTTTCAGTCTTGTGGCTCTCCTGACGATGGAAATGAAGGTTGACACGTCAGAAGATACCTCTACGTTGTGTTAAATAGTGTCAGAGTGGATGAGGTAGTCACTGATGAGTCATCGCTGTTCCTCAGCAACCGGGATAGAAGATCCTTTGGATCAGGCACAAGATGTATTGGCAAAAACGTTAGAGTATCACATTAACCGCATCTGCCTCGTCACCTATCTAACTGAATCAAGACGCGAACAGTTGTGAGGTGACATGGTGAGTAAACAGAAATCTCCTGCACGAGCTTGGAGGGACGTAACGCATATGGTTACGTAGACCAGACAGGATATGTAAGCGAGCACGTGCGTGGACCAGGTCAAGGGAAATAAAAACGTCGTCAATTTATGGAGCCAACTGGATCCACATGTACACTAAACGAAAAAGATTCGGATCCACTAGT